CTCACTTCTCTGCCTATCATCTCCAAACTTCTCTGACTCATCATCTCCTCACTTCTCTGCCTCATCAACTCCTACCTTCTCTGCCTCATCATCTCCCCACTTCTCTGCCTCATCATCTCCCCACTTCTCTGCTTGATCGGATCAGGCTGGCACCCACACCACATAGATGACAGGAGGCTGGCACCCACACAACATAGATGACGGGAGGCTGGCACCCACACCACATAGATGACAGGAGGCTGGCACCCACACCACATAGATGACGGGAGGCTGGCACCCTCACCACATAGATGACGGGAGGCTGGCACCCACACCACATAGATGACGGGAGGCTGGCACCCACACCACATAGATGACGGGAGGATGGCACCCACACCACATAGATGACGGGAGGCTAGCACCCACACCACATAGATGACAGGAGGCTGGCACCCACACCACATAGATGACAGGAGGCTGGCACCCACACCACATAGATGACAGGAGGCTGGCACCCACACCACATAGATGACAGGAGGCTGGCACCCACACCACATAGATGACAGGAGGCTGGCACCCACACCACATAGATGACAGGAGGCTGGCACCCACACCACATAGATGACAGGAGGCTGGCACCCACACCACATAGATGACAGGAGGCTGGCACCCACACCACATAGATGACAGGAGGCTGGCACCCACACCACATAGATGACAGGAGGCTGGCACCCACACCACATAGATGACAGGAGGCTGGCACCCACACCACATAGATGACAGGAGGCTGGCACCCACACCACATAGATGACAGGAGGCTGGCACCCACACCACATAGATGACAGGAGGCTGGCACCCACACCACATAGATGACAGGAGGCTGGCACCCACACCACATAGATGACAGGAGGCTGGCACCCACACCACACACAATAGATGACAGGAGGCTGGCACCCACACCACATAGATGACGGGAGGCTGGCACCCACACCACATAGATGACGGGAGGCTGGCACCCACACCACATAGATGACGGGAGGCTGGCACCCACACCACATAGATGACGGGAGGCTGGCACCCACACCACATAGATGACAGGAGGCTGGCACCCACACCACATAGATGACAGGAGGCTGGCACCCACACCACATAGATGACAGGAGGCTGGCAGAATGCTGTGCATTTCACCCGTGAAATACAATTTGACCAAAAAAATATGGACCTTACATGCCCAACATGCCCAACTTGTCAGGATGGCATTTCAGATAGAGAATATTGCGAACTAAGAATAGAATAATCTCTGGGGTACTGGGAGATGTCCTCAGAAGTAAAGGCAGCTGATATAATAATAACCAAATATTGTACATAAAGCTGATTGGTTTATGTAGTGTGTTATGATTTGTTTTCATAGTTGTCAACACTGCATATTGGGCTGTTCCATGTGTGCCGAGTCCTCCAATGCAGTAGCTTTATTCAGAGGTCATATTATTGTACTTTTGTCCGAAATTCTTTATCATTATTGTTTTTATACAGGATGTGCAACTAACAAATGGTTCTGCAATGTTCTGTACAGAATGTGCAACTAACAGTTGGTTCTGCAATGTTCTGTACAGGATATGCAAATGACAGTTGGTTCTGCAATGTTCTGTACAGGATGTTCAACTAACAGTTGGTTCTGCAATGTTCTGTACAGGATGTGCAACCAACAGTTGGCTCTGCAATGTTTTGTACAGAATATGCTGCAATGTTCTGTACAGAATGTGCAACTAACAGTTGGGTCTGCAATGTTCTGTACAAGATGTGCAACTGACGGTTGGGTCTGCAATGTTCTGTACAGGATGTGCAACTGACGGTTGAGTCTGCAATGTTCTGTACAGGATATGCAACAATGTTCTGTACAGGATATGCAACTAACAGTTGGTTCTGCAATGTTCTGTACAGAATTTGCAACTAACGGTTGGTTCTGCAATGTTTTGTACAGGATGTGCAACTAACAGTTGGTTCTGCAATGTTCTGTGCAGGATGTGCAACTAACAGTTGGTTCTGCAATGTTTTGTACAGAATATGCTGCAATGTTCTGTACAGAACGTGCAATTAACAGTTGGGTCTGCAATGTTCTGTACAGAATGTGCAACTAACAGTACGTTCTGCAATGTTCTGTAGAGGATATGCAACTAACAATTGGTTCTGCAATGTTCTGTACAAGATATGCAACTAACAGTTGGTTCTGCAATGTTCTGTACAGGATGTGCAACTAACAGTTGGGTCTGCAATGTTCTGTACAGGATATGCTGCAATGTTCTGTACAGAACGTGCAATTAACAGTTGGTTCTGCAATGTTCTGTACAGAATGTGCAACTAACAGTTGGTTCTGCAATGTTTTGTACAGAATGTGCAACTAACAGTTGGGTCTGCAATGTTCTGTACAGGATATGCAACTAACAGTTGGTTCCGCAATGTTCTGTACAAGATGTGCAACTAACAGTTGGTTCTACAATGTTCTGTTCAGAATATGCAACTAACAGTTGGGTCTGCAATGTTCTGTACAAGATATTACACTAACGGTTGGGTCTGTACAGGATTTGCAGCTATCCCATTAAAAATACATTCTAGATTGTAATGTCACCAAATTCAAACCTGCTATCAATTATCTGGTTTGTCGGCAGCTTTTTTCATTCATAAGTTTGATTCTTTCTAGCCCCTAGATAAAATGGGAGGATTCCAGAATGTTTGTCAGGATTTTCAACTGTTATACAATAAGTATTTAATAAATGTACATGTGTGGTATCTTACAGTGTTCAGACAAGTTTAAAGTTTTGTGTGACTGGGAGGCTTTAAGTGGTGCTGAGAAGACAAGGAACATCCAGCACTGTAGAGAGAGGGTCACTGCAGCAACCGCAACTAGAAATCTGGACACAATTCAGAAACGGGGCAGGAGATTGAATAGCGTCTAGACATCACCAGAGCTGCAGATAGTGCCCGTATCAAAGTGTAGGAAGATAAATCTAAAACCGTCAACTCTTGTGAACATTTTAAGATGCTACAAGTTTATACATGCAGCTAAATGCTCACCAGCTGACCTGACAATGTCACTCGCCAGAATGATAGACTTGCAAAAATCGAGACGCACACCAGACACCTTGTTAATCAACATAAAACTGGTACTATTAGCCATTGGACGAGGGGGTTCATACTGAGGGCAGGTTCTGAGCACCTATGGACATGTCCGGAGTGCAATAGTGATAAAACAGTTAACTAACTAATTAAAATCAGGAATTGCTCCACATAAATTTTGTGAAATATATTTTATTTCTTTTCCCATCATTTAAAAAAAAACATTTTCACACTGACGCACACATTTGTATTAGTATGAATGGACCAGGACATTCACCAAGCGATAAACACGCGTTGACACAAAGTGTCACATTGCGGATGAGGGTCACCCAGGAAGAGGTCCCAGGAACCCCGTTCAACCGTAAGGTTAGATTAGGGTTCCCGACTACAGTCGGGTGGGGCTTTAAAATAACGAAAAACTGCGTCCTCTACGGGGGCGACAGGTAATAATTTGTATTAATATCATTTTTTGGTCATGTCCGTCATGTTATGAAAAAAGGCAAAATGGAACATGCTGTGACCACTGTAAAGATCTGTGGAAGGAGGGATAGAGATAGACAGCGAGAGAATATTCTTGTCTATTCTACCTACAACTGGCATAAAGAGCAAAGTGTGCAGAGCAGGCTGTGGGGAACCATGAAGGACTTGCAACTGACATGCGAGTTCATAGAGGCAACCCACCTGATGGTCTGATCTGAGCATACGAAACCGAAGGCAAATAAGGAGAAAAATGACACATTTCAAACATACGTCAAATAATCAGTGCTGTATTTTTCTTCGCGTGCATCGCATGCAACTCCAACAAAAAGTTCTGATTGTTTGTCCCCGTCTGGACTTTAGCATTGTTCCAGATCCCCGAGTTTTGCCTCTACATCTGTTTACATATCTGACTTGCTTGTGTGTTGAGTGTTGGTTCCTTGCAGGTCGGGCAGATGCACTCCGACTTTGAAGAAAGATGCCCAATTAGTCAATTTGTCGACTCTTATGACATGTATGTTGGGAAAAGAAGTGGTTATATTCTAGTTTTCTCCTACAATGGGTCCCCAGAATCCACACGGGATTATAATCAGAGATAGAACGATGCACACATAGTGTGGGCCCCACAATGATACAGGTATTGGGCATGTACAGGTATCTGTACACGTGGGACGGTATCACATACGCATAGACGAAGTGCAGTGAAATGTTTACAACGGCTTTGAAATCCCATGACGCGTGCATGTTTTGCTAGTCACACTCGCCATCGCCATGGGCTAGGTCCCATGCCTGGTCATAGCACATCGTCCGGAAAGACCGCAAGGTGTGAATGGATCCATCGGTGCAGATGTTCAAAGGACAAAGAATGTTTAAAAACTATTACGGGCTAACTTTACAATGTATACGGAACACAAGTGACTGAATGACGGACTAGTCGATGAAACAAGAAAACATATTTAAGGAACCTTAAGAGTCAATTACTAGAACCACAAATTATAGACTGGGGCCTGAAGACAGTGGTTGTTGTGTCTAAGGCGGTCACGGGCTGGCAAAGATCAGCTCCATGTTTGTGCCAGGGCATATGTATGTACAAAGCCTTGAGCCAGCTTCAAGACATGAAGACGAGGTCACCATGGAGGGCTGACGAGCAATGGGTCAGGTTGATATACTGAAAGCTCCACGAGAAGTAAGACATTTGGGAAAACCAAGAGATCACTAAAAAAATCAATCAGTATAATCAAACAGCAAGAACGGCATGTCAAAAAGTGTTTAACAAACCAACACAGAAAACTATCTTCATTCGCAACATTAGGTAGGATTAAGAATGCAGGTTGCAAGCTGTTATGGACTACATAGTCCGACGTACAATGAGGATAATCTGTTGATTAACTAACAATTACTGGAGCCGAATTAGGGCTCTTATCTGGTGGTTAAAATGGAGACTTGCTATTTTTTGAGCGGCCACAAACCAATTTATAAATCAGCTTGCTGAACGCCGAGCCCTGTGTGGTATTCTCACTTGCTGGTACTTCATAACTGGACACCACCTGCACACCAGGAATATCTTGTGGGTCACGGTGGTTGCCCTCAAGATTACCTCCTTCACTTGACTCCAGGGTCCGGAACTTCTCCAACTGTGGATATGATGCAGGAGAGACTAACCACCGGGGTACAGTTTCTGGTTAATTGAGTAAATAATGTTATGGGAGGAAACAGTTGTGAAGAGAAGCAGCAGGAGGGAGGGTATGATGTGATACTTGTAAGGATATTTGTAATGGTGGTGGTGGGAGAATAGATGGGAAAAAGAGACAAGATATCGACGAACCAGTGCACTTATGTACCAACTGTCACCGTTATTAAGACATCCAGAAAAAGTTATAAACAGCATATTTATACCAACACTGTGCTATCAGTGCCAGACTTAAACATAATCAAAGGCTAACCTACTTAAAATTACCACCTGGGAAATGAGATGACTGAGAAAAGCCGGCAACTTTACCACCAAAGGCAAAGTTAGAAATTACATCATCAGACAAGCTGCAGGAATAACACCATACAAGTAAAGATAAAAGTAAACTTCCACTCCTTTAGGCATATAGGGCTAAACCTATACTTTTATAGACTAATCGGCACAAGATGGGGTGATGTGGTCAGCATCACGCTGGCTGCCTTTACTTCCCCGGAGCGCACCCGATACCCACTAAAGGCTGGGTCGACCTGGGAGCCAAGCTCATTTTTTGAAAAAGTCTGGCTCCTCCAGGGAGGCAAACCCACGACCCTCCGATCCGCGGCGAGTGTCTAGCCGCTCGGCCACGGCGACTCCCGGAACAACACCATGCAGCAAATTAAATGATAAACAGAAGATCGAATGGTTTGGTCATTTAGTAAGAATAAACAACTACCACCACAGGCGCTACACTTGAAAGCATCTCAAGTGAAAGCAAGAGGCAGTCCTGGGAATTGTGGATAGATGACATTAAAGCGCTTCTACAATGACACGGATCGACGGTAGCCATTTGTGGCCATCAAGCATTAGAGAGCAAACTGTTTCTCATCACAACTCTTAACGATGGAAACCGATGAAACTAGATGAATGAAACCGATGAAACTAGATGAATGAAACCGATGAAACTAGATGAATGAAACCGGTGAAACTAGATGAATGAAACCGATGAAACTAGATGAATGAAACCGATGAAACTAGATGAATGAAACCGATGAAACTAGATGAATGAAACCGATGAAACTAGATGAATGAAACCGATGAAACTAGATGAATGAAACCGATGAAACTAGATGAATGAAACCGATGAAACTAGATGAATGAAACCGATGAAACTAGATGAATGAAACCAATGAAACTAGATGAATGAAACCGGCGCTGTAGCAGCAATTTGCAGTATCAGTTTTAGTTATTATAAAGGTAGTAGTTTCAGTAGAAGTAGCATTAGTTGTTGGAGCTGTTGTTTTGTTATTGTTGTTGTTGTTGTTCCTGTTGCTGCTGCTGCTGCTGCTATAACAGCAGCATGGTAAATCAAAAGAAGATTTCTTCTGCTTTTTTCTTCTTCATCATCATCATCATCATCATCATCATCATCATCATCATCATCATCATCATCATCATCATCATCATCAGTCGTTATCAGCAACTCCTTCTCCTTCTTCAAAAGTTACTTCTACAATAAACCGATAAAAAGTTACCCCTACCATATAGGTCCTACTATGGACAGAAAAAAAGCTACCACCATCATAGAAATATAAAAGTTATAACACTATAACAGAAACAGAAAAACATTGTCTCCTGCCACAGGCAGATAAAAAAAGCTACTCCTACCATAGGTTAGTTGCGTATCCTTTATAGGACGTTGCAGAACCAACCCCAGCTGTTGTGGTTTTTCTAGGCAAATTTACGTCCAGTAGTTTGCCATGCCTCTGGACGGTCGGCTTTCTTGATACCACTGTCGAAACCAACGAAAGGTGCATGGCCAGCAGCTGAGATCGATCCCGGCATTACGAAGCGGTCGCATCGACTTAGCCATAGAGCCGATTACTCCCACCACATTCAGATTAAAAAAAAAAAACGCAACAAACATGCATGGAAATCAATCCGACACAAAAGAGGACTAATCACCAGTAACAAACTAAAGCCTGAAAGGAAATTTGCCTAGTACAATCTTAGATTGAAAAGATATGCTGGGATTGGTTAGTAAACAATTGTCATCATCGTTAAGTATTTACTGAATGGTGTGCTCGATCATAGTCGATCAGCTACGATTTCCGGCAACTCGGATCAGTTCAGGGGATGACAACCTGACCCCTTATGGCTCGATGACATTTTTTCAAAAGTATTCTAGAGTTGTCTTTCTTTATCTCTTCCTGCCTTCTTTCCAGTTGTCACAAATCTTTCCATGATGACCGGCACTTTCTGATCTTCTACTACTTGAGCACCCCGAGCCCATAAAGCTCATTGCTGTAGATATCGCATGTCTCCATTCATTTTTCTGGTAGATCTTCTCTTTCCAGATGATGACACCAATTATTTGCAGGTCTGTCTGGATATTATCTCTTCATCGGTTGCTTGGTCTGCCTCGTGGTAGTCGACCGAGTAACTCCCCTGTGTACAGTTCTTACCTCTTTGTCATCTAAAACTTCCAATATGCACCAGGTAATTCAGTCTATTAACAACTGATGACGTAGTGTCTTTATCTTGTAGTTGTTACAAAATATCTTCGGGACTTCATCTATTTCCAGACAACAACTGTATTAGATAGTGAGTCTGCCAAAGAGATTTACACCTTTTTTTTTGGTTTGGTAAAACCACGTCTCCCGGGCCACATAATTAATTTGGCTTTCTGACTTATTGTCTAGCATTGCCAGTTATACGTCAACACAAACTGTCTGCAGAAATCATCAATTATTATTATTATCCACAACCAAGAGGATTTATTGCATCAGATTTTCCTCACTTTGAGCTATTCATGTTGAATTCAACCAGACTGTCTCAG